GTTATTGATTTTCATTACAGATGAGGAGATGGGGTGGAAAGGCTAGTAACTTAATAAAGCTACTTGACACTGGCAAATCAGACTCCAAAGCTCATGCCTTTTCTAATGATCTATGGGCTATTTCTTCAGGGGAGGGAGAATAGAAGCCGGTGAAGATTTAGGCTATAGTTGGACTAAAGGAAGAAAAGAGCTATGTCACCGTTGGATTTATGTAGAGTTTACTGTAAAATTGATATCTGCTCTTAGGGTGGAAAATATGGGGAAGAGTGGTAGATGACTGTGTTAATTTCTGCAGAAACATTGTATAAAATAGGTTAGTGGGAACAGTGCTCTGAATTCTGTTTCTGCTGTGTTCCATAAATCTTGCTTCAGAATTCATAATACAGACTTGCACAGTAGTTACAGTTTTAGTTTTGCTCTCTACAGTTTCAGTTACCCATGTCAACTGCAGTGTAGAAGCAGAGACGATCCTCCTTCTGACATACTGTCAGAAGATCAGCAGTAGCCTAACACTATATCACAGTGCCTGTGTCATTCACATCACTTCATCTGATCATACAGGCATGTTATCATCTCAAGTCATCACAAGAAGAAGGGTGAGTACAGTACAATAAGATATTTTGAGAGAGAGACCACATTCATGTAGCTTTTATGATAGTATACTGTTACAATTGCTTTATTTTATTATTAGTTATTGTTAATTTCTGACCAGGGCTCATTTACAAATTAAACTTTATTATTCGTATGTATGTATAGGAAAAAACAATATATATATAGGGATCAGTATCTGATTTTAAGCATCCACTGGGGATCTTAGGATGTATGCCTTGCAGATAAGGGGAGTGGGCTGGGGGGGCTACTGTACTCTTTTTTTTTTTTTTTTTTTTGCATTTTTATCTTTTTTTATACACAAATAGCAAACTCAGTAAGTAACTTGGCCAGAAGACTTAATTCATTGGGTGTGATTAAAAGATAAATAATCTAAGAAGTGACCTCCGTAAGTTAACATTTAATGTTCTTTGCCTTTACCCCTGCTTTTTTAAAAGTACTTACTTTGCTTCTATCGGTATTAGAATGAATCATATTTAATTGGGTCAAAAGAGTTGAATATTGGCAATTTCATGTGGTTCAATGTGGTAGTGTATTTTGAAAGGACAAGAAGCAGTAATTGTAACCATTGTTAACACCATTACAAGGATCATGTCTGTTTTATACTTACGAGTGTTATATACACTGCCAAGCACAGTACACATAGTAGACATTCAATACATAATTTATGAATGAGAAATACAGGTTTTTGAGGTTTCATACAGGTTTTGTAAGAAATTTAGGTAAAGATGGGGCCCCTGGGTGGCTCAGTCGATTGGGTGCCTGACTTTGGCTCGGGTCATGATCTCGCCGTCTGTGAGTTCAAGCCCCACGTTGGGCTCTATGCTGACAGCTCAGAGCCTGGAGCCTGCTTCAGACTCTGTCCCTCTCTCTCTGCCCCTCCCCCGCTCTCACTGTGTGTCTCAAAAATAAAATAAAAACATAAAAAAAAAATTTAGGTAAAGGTTAAGGGAAATTTTCTTCTTGTCAGGCCCTAAGTTCTTTTTAAAAGACTGAAAGAGAAGGAATTTTTAGCAAAGCTCTTTTATTTCTAATGCAAGATAATAATAAATAATAAAATTTTTACTACTCTGGCCTCTTAGCCTTCTGTTAAAGAGGTTCCCCTTCTTCCACCATTTCCATGAACCCAGCAGAGATTTAATACTCCTTGCTTTCCCCCTCCTTTCTTGGGAGGCTTTCCACTGCTTTTGCCTTTCAATTACTCTGCCTCTCCTTTTATAAACTCAAGGTGGTTGACATGAAAAATGCACTGATAACTTCACCTTCCTCATTTGAGGCCAGAGATGCGGCTTTTTTCTATACACTAACAGCTTTTACAAACTATTAAGTATGTAATATGCCCAATCCTCATTTCTGTGTCCAAATAACTTACATAAATTATCTTGTCAGAATGCAACAACAAAAGACTTAGACTATATCATAGTCATCTAATAATAGTTTTCCAGATCGTTTTGTTCACAGATGAGAGGTTGTAATAAGGCAGAGGGCTAAGAAGCCTCTTGTTTGGGATTACCCGGGGGCTTTGGCACAAATATGAAGTAAATGTATTTGTCGTGTCATTGTCTAGTATTACTGCTTTGGGCCATTATTTTACCATGTACATTTCTTGCAGTATTGAGTTTCATCCACACAGTGGTGCTAGAAAACCAAGAATTGGTGATTGTTTCCCTCCTAATCAGTGGAATATGTGCTTCTAACTGTTCCTTATGAAATAAATACTTCCTTGGATCATATAATAGCAATTTCCTCAACCTTCATCAAATCCATAACAAAGTTTATAATGATTTTATGGCATAAACCTTGAAAATAAAACACCCGGGGCACCTGGTGGTTTGGTCAGTTAAGTATCCGACTTCCTCTCAGGTCATGAACTCTCAGTTTTTAAGTTCGAGCCCCGTGTTGAGCTCTAAGCTGACATCTCAGAGCCTGGAACCTGCTTCAGATTCTGTGTCTCCCTCTCTCTCTCTTCCCTTCCCCCACTCATGCTCTGTCTCTGTCTCAAAAATAAATAAACTTTAAAAAAAATTAAAGAAAAAAACCCAAGTTATTTTTTCAGCAGAATGGGTTTATTTGGGATTATTAGAGAATTGTAATTTGGGACATGCAAACCTTGGCAAAACCATCGGCAAGTCCAGCAAACAAAGGAGAAGAATGTTATTTTATGGAGAAGGAGGAGGAAGTTGGGAAGGATTGTTTTAAATGAAAGAAAGTCATTGGAGAACAGCAAAACTACAGGGTAATGTTGATATCTCATTAGCTATGTTACAGGAGTAGTCCCGCTTCTTGTAGGAGATGCAGTGTATATCTTTTCCCTGTTGGGGCCTGTAATTGAAGATTCTTCTATTGAATATTCTTCTGTTGTGGTCTGCAATTGCCAGTTCTTCCCGTAACTGATGTTGAGTGGTGGGGTTCCCCCTTCTGGCCTCCCTTCTTTCTGTACTTCTAGTGAGATTTCCCTTTATTAATATTCACAGTGGATTTTACCTTTCTTTGCTTTCGTCTGTTACATATTGTACTTATAAGTAATCTTTTATAAATTTGAATCTGAACTTTACTCTTCTGCTTAAAAACTCTTAAATGAATTACATTAAGTTTACCGATAAAGACAAGGTCTTTCATGATCCAATTCCTTCCTAGTTCCCTAGCTGTTTATCTGTAGCCTTTTCTTGTACAGTTCTCCATGGTGCTTTGTAGTTAGCCATCTTTTGTTTCTTGGAACACAAATTTTTCCTCCTGCTTTTGCCTGCTTTTCCTTCTGCCTATGGTAAGTAGGGGTGTGTGTGTGTGTGTATAGATATATTTCTTCATAAGTTAACTTTACCTTATAGCCTTTCTAGCGTGGGTCATATTTCTGAAAGCTTTCGTTAATTCTCCTCCTCCACAGATCAGTGCCCAGTGTTATGGTACCCAGTAACTTTTTCTTCCAAACATTTATTGCAGTTTCATTATATATTTATTTATGAATTATTTGACTAATGTCCATTTCCTTACTGAATCATGAATGCTGAAGAGGTAGATTCTGTGCTCTTTGCTCATCATTGTGTCATTGGTGCCTATTGAATTATTGCTGAATGAATCAGAGAATAAATATAAGTCGGCCAGGCCTCAAAGCAGGTAATAGAAGTAGGAACAGATGAACGTTATGGAAAAAAAAGAAAACACTTGAAATTAGAATACAGTAAGTTGAGTTTTATATTAAGGTAAGGTATTGGCCCAGCTTAGTTTACTTTTATATTTTCTGTCAGAGCAGAAACTAATTCTATGTCATGGGCAGCCCTGAGTGGTAAGGGTTCCTATCTGCATGTGAAGGAAGGAAGAGTGAGATTACATTTAGCCGAATAAAATTATGGAAATAGTAAAGAGAGTGGATCTTAAAAGTTCTCATCACAAGAAAAAAATAACTAGGTGACGGATGATGTGTTAAGTAAACTTACTATGCTAATCATTTCACAATATGTTCATATATAAAGTATATTATGTTATACACTTTAAACTTACACAGTGTAATATGCCAATTATATCACAATAAAGGTGGAGAAAAGTAAAATAAAGTTATAGAAATCGCTTAATGCCCAGTGCAAAACACTGTTCTTCAGGAAGCCTCGTTTCTAGTCCAGGTAGAATATTTTGTTCTGTACTCTTGGGAAAAACTTGATAAAACATTGGAGAAATCACCACTTGTTCTTACATTTATTTCCATAATTATGAAACAAAATAATGAAAACATTCTCTATTTCTTAATGTGTGGTAAAAAAAAATTAATGAGATATAGAGGTGAAAGCATTTTAAAAACTATAAAGGGGCGCCTGGGTGGCGCAGTCGGTTAAGCGTCCGACTTCAGCCAGGTCACGATCTCGCGGTCCGTGAGTTCGAGCCCCGCGTCGGGCTCTGGGCTGATGGCTCAGAGCCTGGAGCCTGTTTCCGATTCTGTGTCTCCCTCTCTCTCTGCCCCTCCCCCGTTCATGCTCTGTCTCTCTCTGTCCCAAAAATAAATAAATGTTGAAAAAAAAAATTAAAAACTATAAAAACTCTACATAAAATGGACTTAATATTTGCCCCAGAGACAGGAAATCCTCCAATTTTAGAATTTCCCCATTCTTTTTATTCATAATTATAAGGAAGAGGTGCCTAAAAGAAAAGATGTTATGGCATGAAAAACCCTATCTCTTATGGCCACTGTCAGGGATCATGCCAGTTTGATTCACTGTTTATCGTCTACACACAGTGCCTAGTGGGTGTCTAAAAATTGTTTTAGAATAAATAATATAGTGTATTTGTTCTTAAAGCCTTTGTGATTAGCGTTCTGTGATTTCTTCACCTTGTGAGCATTCTGCAGAAAGAAATAATCAAAAGTGAAACCTGTATTTATGTTTATTTTTCTTGTATTTCAGCTGTGGCAGAAGTAAAACTTCGAGATGATCAATATACACTGGAACACATGCATGCTTTTGGAATGTATAATTACCTACACAGTGATTCATGGTATCAAGACAGCGTCTACTACATTGATAACCTTGGAAGAGTTATGAATTTAACAGTGATGCTGGTAAGAAAAATACCTGTAATAAGAGGATTTTCCAATAAATCTGATTCTTAATTTTCATTTTTAATCTGATGTCCAGGGGCACCTGGGTGGCTCAGTTGGTTAAGCGTCCGACTTTGGCTCAGGTCAGCTCAGAGCCTGGAGCCTGCTTCTGATTCTGTCTCTCTCTCTCTCTCTCTCTCTCTCTCTCTCTCTCTCTCACCCCTCCCTTGCCCCTCCCTTGCTAGCACTGTCTCTCTCTGTCTCTCAAAAATAAACAAATGTAAAAAAAAAAAATCTGATATCCAGAGAATTGAGGTACACATATCTTTAATCTATGGAATCCTATCGTTAATCTATATAAGGCTCTGTTCTGTTTAATTCAATTTTAATTTTTCCCTTTGTTCTTATCACTTATTATTCCCCTCCACACCCACCAATGAGCAACAATTCTAATGGATTTTATAGATCAATGTTAATGTAACTGTTCATGTCTGCTTTTTCTAATGTGAAGTATTAACTCTGACTATGACAGTGAATTTGTTTATTTTTCCTTTTAATTCTTGCTTTATGTATTTTTAATCATGCTAATTGAGGCACAAACATTTTGTCTGCTATGGATTTGTCCTTTTAGCATTATGAAATGCCCTTTTTATCTCTAGACTCTGGGAATGATTTTTGTTTGTCTTGAAATCTTCCAATATTAATATAGTGTGATAGCTTTTTTTATTAGTAGTATTCATCTTTTTCTGTCTTTTTTCTTTCACTTTATCAGTGTTGTTGTTTTTAGTCTGATGCCTTAGACCACTCAACCATCCTGACATGACAGTGTTGTTATTTTTAAAGTGTGTCTCTTATAAACAACATATAGTTGGGTCTTGTTTTGTATCTAGCATGACAATCTGTCCTTTAAATGAAGCACTTAGGACATTTATATTTAATGTAATTACTGATATGGTTGGGTTTATGTTACCATTTTCCTGTCTTTTCAGTTTGTCCCATCTGTTCTTTGTTCTTTATCCCTTTGTTCCAACCTGTTTTAGAATTAGTCAAATTTTCTTAAAATTCCATTTAATTTTCTCTTGGCTTTTTATCTAAACCTGTTTGTACTATTATTTTTTTTTTTAATGGTTAATGTAGAGATTGTAGTATTCATCCTTAAATGGTAATAGTCTGCCTCTAACACTAAAACCTTACGGTAGTAATTCCTTCTATTTCCCTTTTACCCTTCAAGCTATTTTTGTCCTATATTTTACTTCATATGTTGTAAATTCCACAATAGATTGTTAATGTATTTGCTTTAAACGGTCAGTAGAATGATAATAGCTTCCTAACTGCTCTCTGCTCTTTCTAGCACACCTCTACTGTGCATCTACAGAATCATAGATTGAATTTTTTTTTATTCCACATGTAAGATTAATAGGTTATTTGTCTTTTCTGACTTATGTCACTTAGCAAGATGCCTTTAAGGACCATCCATATTGTCACCAAGGGCAAGTTTCATTCCTTTTTATGGCTAAATAAAATATTCCACTTTTTATATAATGACACATTTCCTTTATCCATTCATCTATTGATGGACACTTAGGTTTTTCGTTTTTTGTTTTTTGACTATTGTAAATAATGCTGCAGTGAACATAAGGATACATATATCTTTTCAAGTTAGTGTTTTTATTTTCTTGGGATAACTATCCAGAAGTGGAATCACTGGGTCATAAGGTAGTTCTATTTTTACTTTTTGAGAAACCTTCATACTGTTTTCCATAGTGGCTGCACCAGTTTACATTTGCACCAACAGTACATGAGAATTCCCTTTTCTCCACATCTTTTCCAACACTTGTTACTTCTTGTCTTTTTGATAATAACCATTCTGGTAGGTATGCAGTGATAATCTCATTGTGGTTTTGATCTGCATTTCTCTGATGATGAGTGATATTGAGCAAGTTTTCATATAGTTGTTGGCTGTCTCTAGGTCTTCTTTGGAAAAATGCTCAGATGCTCTGCCCATTTTTTAAGCATGTTTATTTATTTATTTATTTTGAGAGAGAGCAGAGCAGGGGAGGGGCAGAGAGAGAATCCAAAGCAGACTCTGTGCTGTCAACGCAGAGCCTGATGCGGGGTTCAAACTCACGAACTGTGAGATCATGACCTGAGCTGAAATCCAGAGTTGGACACTTAACCGACTGAGCCACCCAGGCACCACTCCCATTTTTTAATCTTTTTGGTTGTGTGTTTTGGGGGGGGGGGGAGGGTGGGTTGCTATTGTATAAGTTCTTTATATATTTTGATACCCTATGATTTGCAAATATTTTCACTCATTCCCTAGGTTGACTTTTCATTTTGTTGATCATTTCCTTTGCTTTGCAGAAGCTGTTTAGTTTGATGTAGTTCCACTCATTTATTTTTGTTTTTGTTGCCTTTGCTTTTGGTGTCAGATTCAAAAAATCATTGCTAAGACCAATGTCAAGGAGTTTACCACTTATGTTTTCTTTTGGGAGTTTTATGGCTTCAGGTTACATTCAAGTCTTTAATCCAGTTTATTTTTGTGTATGATATAGGGGTCCAGTTTCATTCTTTTGCATGCGGCTGTCCGGTTTTTTGAAGACCATTTATTGAAAAGGCTGTCTTTTCCCTATTGTATACTCTTGGCTCTTTCATTGTAAATTAATTGATCATATATGTGTGATTTTATTTCTGGACTCTGTTCTGTCTCATTGACCTCCACTTCCATACTGTTTTGATGATTGTAGCTTTGTAAAGTATTTTGAAATCAGGAAGCATGATGACTCCAGCTTTGTTCCTTCTTTCTCAAGATTGCTTTAGCTTTTTGAGGTCTTTTGTAGTTTCATACAAATTTGAGGATTGTTGTATTTCTGTGAAAAATGCCATTGGAGTTTTAATTGGGATTGCATTGAATCTGTAGATTGCTTTGGGTAGTATAGACATTTTAACATTGATTCTTCCAATCCACGAGAATGGAATATCTTTCCATTTATTTGTGTTTTATTGTAAATTCTTTTTATTAGTTTCCGGTGTGTCCTTCCAGAGGTAGTTTGTTTTTTCTGTATGTCTGTTTTTTATTTTTTTTAGCAAGTATAAACACAAAGTGATCTATTTTTAAAATACAAACTCCTCATTGGTATATACAGTTTATTGTGCTCTTCTCTCCAACCTTGTGTTTTGCCATTTTGTACACTAGTCTCTAGCAATACCAACTCTTGCAGTTACTGAGACATGCCCTGTATCCTGTTGTCCTCTGCTCATTTTTCATGTGATTAGCTCTACCTGGAACATTTTTTCTTAGTTCTTGCCAGGTTGCTTCCTGGTCTTTACTTAAGACCTAGCAAACCATCTCTTCTATTAAGCTTTCCCTGACATCCTCACTTTGCTCCTCTGGGAATATTCAAAGCATTGGCTCTCAGATCTATGTGGACTTTTAATTCCTTCTAGGCCAGAGGTTTGCAAGACTTTTTCTGCATAGGGCCAAATAATAAATATTGTACAGTTTGTAGGTTAGACAGTCTTATGTCACAACTGCTCAGTTTTGGTGTGGTAGTGTGAAAACAGCGTTAGACGATATGTAAATGAATGAATGTGACTGCATTCCAAGCTCAATTCCAAACTATTGACTATAGTTTGCCAACCCTTGGTCTAGGCCCTGGGTTTTTCTTATTTTTCTATAATCCTGCCATCCGGCAGAAGATTTGGTCAGTATGTTTGTTGAAATAACAACAACTGTTTAAAGCTTGTTCTTATCCTTTGTAGTTGTCTTTTTATTCTTGATAGGATCTTCCTCTTCTTATTTCTTCTCTGGGTTCAGGTATGAGTCTTTGGTTTATTGAGATAAATAACTTTACTGTATAATAAATATTTACTTCTATATTATATATACTTAGTTATATATTTTTATTATATGTATGAATATCTATTATATATTACAAATATATACTTTATATATATTCCTCAGCAAACATTTATCGAATGCTATTATGCTTAGTAGCCACATACACAAATAAATTGATAACATGTAACAGTGGAAGTAGGGATAAGATGCAGACCTAGTACAGAGGAGGAAATGATAAATGTTGAGAGATGAAGTGTTCCAAGAAGTTTCAGAGGAGTTGTCACTTTAACAGAATTTTGAAGGATCAGTTAATTTGCCATGCAGATTGAGGCAGCTGTGTCTGCACATGACTTAAAAGGCACATTCAGCAAACTTCCACAGGCACATGTGTGCACTACAGGCACTCTAGATTGGTTTGCTAAAACACAGTGTATGTATGGAAGGACCAAAATAGTATGTATGCAGGCTTTGGTTGGAGATGAGGATGGCAAGGTGAGCAAAAGCCAGGGTGTGAAGGGAGGGAGGAACAGTCATGTGTTAAGCCAAGAGAAATATTAAAAAGATAATTGATGCTTTGATTCATTTTTGTACTATGCTTGGCTGGGAGAGGATATGGTAGGGTCACAGTTTTGGGCCAGAAGCTTGGTTTTATCAGTTTACTTGTTGATAATTGTGATTTGGGATACTAATTTCCAATTTAAATCACAAGATTGATTGGAAATGTGGAAAGAAAGTTTAATGGTAGCATTTGAAATACTATAAGCAGTGTGGACTGGTCAATATGGTTTTCTTCTCCCATTGGAAAGTCTTCAAAGGAAATCAAATACTGTAAATTAAAAAAATTTTATTACAAAAAATTTTTTTGGTGTTTATTTTGAGAGAAAGCGCACATGCACACAAGTGGGGGAGGGGCAGAGAGAGAGTGAGAGTGAGAATGAGAGTGAGAGAGAGAGAGAGAGAGAGAGAATCCAAAGTAGGCGTCAGGCTCTGAGCTGTCAGCACAGAGCCCAATGTGGGACTCAAACCCAGGAACTGTGAGGTCATGACCTGAGCAGAAGTTGGATACTCAACCAACTGAGCCACGAGGCACCCCTCAAATACTGTAATTTTAGTAAGAGTGCTTATTTGACATGGAATCTGGACAAAGACTAATATGTCTTTGATCCCTTTTCCTGACCTA